AGGGAGCATAGGAAACATGGAGATTTGGGGGAATGGGGCTGGGGGAGGAAGGATGAGGAGAGTAACATGAAAAATTATTTCTTAGAAATTTTTTTCTATTCTCTAACCAACCACTAGAAAATATTTTCGGAAAAAGTTTTTCACTCACCAACCAAATAAGGAAAAATAAGTGATAGAATCAATCATTTTTCAGGAAAAATATTTTCCATGAAAAATATTTTTCTTCATACCAACCACACCCTAAGAATTTGTATTTTTGCTCTTTTCCCCTTTTTGAAGTGGAGCCTTAGCGTAACTGGTAAAGTTGCTGCCATATGACCAGCAAGTCACGGGTTCGAGCCGTGAAAACAGCCTCTTGCATATAACAGACATGTGTGGCCCGACCTTTTTTCGGCTCCCGCGCATAGCGGGAGCTTAGTGCACTGAGGTGCTATATTTTTGTTTTTATTATTATTACTATTATTATATATTTTTAAGATTTGTTTAGTTTTATATTGGATTTCAGACAATATATGAACAAGGTGAAAAATTCACAGAGTCATTTATTGTTGGTGACTATTACTTGAAGTGTATTAAGCACATTTTCTTCTTAAAATAAAAACTATCATATTTTGTAGAAGATTAACTTAAGTTTACAATATGATAGTCAAATTTGAATAAATTTAGTGAAGAAGAGTATATATTATTCCAGTTAAGGTTATGTCATTAAATAATCTGAGCAAAAGAAAAAATATAAATTGCACTTGAAAATAATATTACACTTATATAATATAGGTTAGCCTATATTTAACCCGCCCATTTGACACCCAATCTGTTTTTGATCCGCATAAAATATGGATGGGTTGAGACTCAACCCACTCAACCCATTTTTAAGCCGCCCAAATCCGACCCAACTCGCTCGTTTGCCACCGTTGCTTATGAATATAGTAATCTCATAGCTCCATTCATCACTTACAGTAAGCTATAAAAAATCATTATTATTATTATTGTTGTTGTTGTTGTT